TTTGCTTGAGTATAGGATTAACTTGCATACGTTCACATAGTTCCTTTTTCTGTAATGGACCTTAAGGAAGGACGGAAATGGTCTCAAAAAACTCAAGAAGGTCTAGTACTTTATAAAAAGTATTAATCAAATAACTTGATTGTTAAAAGATGAATAAAAAGCTTTTTCACGTTAAGGCCTTCTTTTATATCAAATAATCACAATCCTTAAAATTACCAAACAATACTCAAGTATAAATACACACAAGAGATAGTATTTTATTTTTTCAGAGTTTTTGTTTTCTACTGATAATGATTAGTGAAAGATCCTTCATATCCTCTAGCTAATCATTAGTTCTTGTTAATTTCCTTATACAAAAAAAACTGAAATCAGTTTACCCTCTCCAAAAAATCTACATTTCATTATATACTAATCATATTTTGTATCACAAAAATAAAATCAAACAACATAACAATACCAGATTGGAAGAGCACGTGATTAGTATTTTGCATGGGTTCTGGCAGCATCAAAACTTAAACATTAACAATATAGCCATAACATAATACACAGTGAAAGCCGATATAACGGACGATCGATATAACGGATTTTGATTTGTACAAACTTTTTTTCTGGAACAGAATTTTTACTAAGTTATATAGCGGACTTTTATATTAAATGGTGATATAACAAATCCGGACTAATTTGTCCAAACATATCTAATTAGCTTAGCTTGATATATCGGATTTTGTGTAACGAAATCTGATATATCCATACCAAAGTCTACTATATTATAGCAGAGTCTGTTATACATAATTAAATATAAAAATAAAATTCGATCGTTCTGTTTTCCTCACAAATTTAACAAGCTTATCATAATGTCGACTTTTGATCCAATCAATTTAAATAATAAACAAAAAGATGCTTCTCAGCAAAATGATGTAAATAAAAGAACCCGTGTTAGCTTAACGGCATTACAGAAAAAGGAACTATGTGAACGTATGCAAGTTAATCCTATACTCAAGCAAAAAGATATGGCAAAGGAGTATAAAATATCAAAACAGGCAGTCTCAGATATTTTGAGACAAGAAAAAATATGGTCAACAATAGAAACAGGAACTGCAAGTGCTAAGCAAAAGCGTAATCGAAAGCCTGCATTTATAGAAATCGATGATGCAATGAAACTCTGGGTGGAGCATGTATTAATTCATAGTGACATTAACCTAAATGACAGTATTTTAATGGAACGTGCCTTGGCATTCACAAAAGAATTTGGATATGACAACAAATTTCTTGCTTCGTCTGGATGGTTAAAGAATTTCAAAAAGAGAAATAACTTATGATCATATAAAAAGCGTGGTGAAATTGGAAGTGTTAACATGGAAGATATTCCACAATTTCGAGCTGACTTGCAAAATATTCTTAAAAAATATGATTATCGAGACATATTCAACTGTGACGAAACCGCTTTGTACTGGCAACTAGAATCAGATAGATCAATTGCACATATGCCTTTACCAGGCAAAAAAAAATCAAAAGAACGTATTACACTATTATTAACTTGTAATGCCTCTGGTGATGAAAAATTGCCAATACTTTTTATACACAAGTACGAGTCACCACGTGCATTGAAGAGTATAAGCAAATCTACGTTACCAGTTTGGTATTACTGGAATGCTAAAGCATGAATGCAAAGAAGCATCTTTCATTCTTATCTAGTACGTCTGAATTCTCAAATGAAGCTTGCAAATAGAAAAATTATCCTGCTTTTAGATAACGCTAGTTGTTATGAGACACGAGATGCAGAAAATTTATCCAACGTTCGACTCCATTTCCTCCCACCTAATACTACCGCCATTCTTCAGCCTTTGGATCAAGGCATAATTTATAGTTTAAAGGTATACATACTATATTTTATACAAATAAGTTTGTTCTATTAAGATTCGATTTTACTGTTTAATTGATCCAATTATTATTTAAATATTAGGCTCATTATCGTAAAATTTTATGTCGTGAAAAACTCTATGTATATGAAAAACTTTCAGAAGAGAGTGGCGAACTCTCTAAAACGACTATCTTTAATGCAATTCATTACATTGACAATGCTTGACATAATGTTACCTGTACGACAATCCAGCATAGTTGGAACCGGACGGAAATTCTTCCTACAACTTTGCCTGCAATGATTTTCTTACCCCAGACAGATGTGACGGAAAGTTTAGAAACTGAAACTCTAGAAAATGAATTAGAAGACCTTATCAATCAGCTTCCGATAACCAATTC